AGCATTGGTTACTGATAACCCGGGATATGTCAATCTAGAAAAAGTTTTTAGTACTTCAACAGAGTGTTTTTTTGAAGTTTGAGTCTTTAACTGGATGCTATATTTTGTATAGGGGGGGGGGGGGGGGGGGGTTCCAGATTGGTGATAATAGTAGAACCTATTTGACTTCTGTTTCTATCTTTATTTGATGTTCGACATTGTATGTATGCATATATGATATATCTAGTCTGATAGAATCTGGCACAAATGAAAGTTAAATAGTATACGGATATACAAATCTGATCAAAAGGAGATGATAACAGTGTCTATTGATAATGAAAGGTAATCTGTAGGCAACAGGCAACCAGTCCGTTTGAGAAGACCACTCTCCAAGGCAACACTCAATATCAAAATAACAGTCTCCTCTATTAAGCTACCCCCCTTTTCTATTTATAGTATTAAGTCCACGCAGGAACTAAAATAGATAAAGTAATTCTTTAATTGACCCCAGCCCCTTTATTTCTCCTTTAATACCCCTTATCAAAATACCGACTAGGCTGATGCCTAACATTACTCCCCCCCTAAACAACCACCTTGTCCTCAAGGTGGATGATAGGACACAGCCTTGATCTTGATTTTCCTCTTCATCTTGGAACCTCTTCCTTCCCAGTACCTCTCGGATTTCCCACCCAAAAGAAGCTTGTTTATTGCTCTTTTTGCTGTTTCTACAAACCACTCATCCTTTGGTAGAGCACTTTGTACAATGCCCCTAACAGAAAATGTCCTGATCGCACGAGGCATTATATCAGATGCTATTTGATGCACTATCCTGGAAGGGTATCCAGCAAACCGTGCTATCTCTACGATGAAGTGCATATCCAGCATTATCTGCTGCAATCCATGTTGTGTAAGAGGAGCAGAACAATCCTCCAGAACACGCCAAAATGCTTGGTCATTATACAGCCACACGACCCCATTCTCAATCAGCCTGGCAAGCAAAACCTTCTGTATTTTCTCCCTCCCAATTAGTACGTCACCAGCCACAGATGCTAACTGCTGCAGCTTACCAAACAGAGCTTGAAACTGCATGTTCCCGTTCTTCACTGCAAGGAGCGGAAATAATATCTTGGTGGCAGAATGCTCCCTGGTGCTGCAAAAGTTTGAATCTCCCGGCCTCTGCTCTCCTGTTGTATCCTTTGCTTGTTTTCCAACCTCTCTTTAAGAGAATTGACCTCATCTTGGTCAAGACCTTGAACAATTTCAATAGCATATGAGCTCAAATCACAGTTATAATCACACCTCAACATCTTCCCAGGGATCCAATCAAACTCATAGCTTTTATTCACCCTACTGGAGCCGCTCAAACCATAGTTTCTGTATACCTCAACTAGCCTCTCCCATGTATATCTTTTCAGGAGGACATATGTGTTCCTAAGTCTCACAACAGCTGCCTTGATTCTTTCAGAATATATGGATGATAAGGCACCACCTGCTACCTTACAGAAAACAACACTTCTTTTCTCATGAGCATTTTCATCATAATCCATCAGTATCTTCCATAAAACAGAAATTATCTGAGGAGTTTCATCACTAAATGAATCACAGAGCAAACCAGCTTTAACCTTTTCAAGGACACCCATCCGTACTTCAGCTGTTCTATCGGTAGATCTCTTTAGAACTTCCAGAAATGCTGGTTGAAAAGCCTCCTTGGTTGTTACTTCTGGAAATTCTGCCATTATCTCTTCCCAAATGGGGTCTCTTCTCAGCTTCTTCTCTCCTTCTTCTAGCCTGTGTTCTCAAAATATAAGATACCCATCCCCCGAATCCTGTATGATGTGTGCAATGGTCTGCAAGGATATCTCAATAGAATTTAGCTGGGGTTCTCCTTGTATGATCTGATGTGTCCCCAACTGATGCCACTGTATTCTTTGCTTCTGAAAGTTCACTTCTACATCCCCCAATGCGGTTAACCACTCCATTCCAAGGACTAAGTCAGTTCCCCCAAGTTCTAGTATATAGAAATTCTGCTGGATAATAGTGCCTTGTACTCTGAGAACCAAACCCTCACATATGCCATTATTGGTTACCTTATCCCCATTCCCTATCTGCACATTGTACCCCAGAATAGTCTGATAAGGTATTCCCCATTGTTCCACCAGTTTTTGTGATATGAAGTTGTGGGTGGCCCCATTATCAATCAACACTTCCATCTGTTTCTCACCTTGTACCCCTTTCAGTATGCCCTGCACCTTGAAAGCCCTCAGTGAGGGGATTCCTTCTTTACTTATCACAGACAATTGCACGGATTTAGACTCCATGTGAACCATTTCCTCTTCTACAGCTTCCGGTTCCAGCACCTCCAATTCCTCTTCCTCTTCAGAATCTTCCACCAGAATTAATTTATAATTTTTCATCTTGCAGGTGTGTTCTCTGCTCCACTTATCCCCACATTTATAGCACAATCCTCTCCTACTCCTCTCCTGGTATTCCTCCTGAGATAGTTGAGGTGCTACTCTTCTTATCCCTGAGGGATTTATTTCAGTCACCTTCGTCCCCATGTGATTGATCCAAGTTGGATTTCCTTGAGCATCTCCGGTATTCCTGTCTCCCGTCTGGGGCCCTGAACTCCCAGACATGGGTTGATACCCTTCACCCCAAGCTGATGATCTGTATTGCGTAGGCCCTTTGTTCCTCCCTTCATTTCTGTCTGCAGTTTTACTTCTCCCATAAATAGCTTCATTTCTCTGTTCAATAAGTAAAGCTCTATCCATTATAGCAGCCAGGGATCTGGAGTTATAGAGTTTGAGTCCCGTTTTAACTTCATCCTTCAGGCCATTGATAAAGATGCCTCGCAGCATACCCCTGTCAATATCCTTTTGAGGAGCTATAACCATCTCAAACTCCTCCCTATACTCTTTTACTGTCCCAGTTTGTTTTAAACTGAGCATAGGGCCATACAGATTTTGAATCAAGTCCGGTTGAAACCTACAAATCACAACATCCTTCAGATTCTCCCAAGTTCTTTCCTCAGCCTGATGTTCCCACCACTGGAACCAATTCAAAGCTCTGTCCTCCATGGCCACAACCGATACTTCTACTTTATCCTCCTCTTCAATCCCATTCAGTCGGTAGTAATGTTCCATTCTTATGATCCAATTATATGCACCCTCCCCACTAAATAAAGGTAGATCCACCTTTCTACCTGTACGAACATGACGAGCAGGGACTGGTGAGTGTACAGAATTACCTCTCGAATGACGCGAGCGACGATGGTGCGGTGATCACGATCTTCCCCTGGTATGATCGCTCCTGTTCTGGTGAGCTGCGATGGATGCTGCGATGCTATTCTGGATCTGTTCATTCATCGCAGAAGTGAGGTTTGCAATGGTGGCCCTCATCTCCTGCTCAAAAGCCTCCATGCGATGCTCCATTTTAGATCTCATTTTTACCATCCACTACTGAATACGAGAACTCAGTTGTAGTTGCTCTTCAAGTTCGATACACTACCGACTCTGGTTGTTGTTCGTCTTCGCGGATTGAGCCATGGTCATCGCAATTTTCACCGGCTTGTTTGTACGTAATTCCAGTTGCGCACGATTAACGATCCTCTACAGTGTTGACGTGCTCTGTTGAAGTCGCACTTCAATTCCGATCCTCCAGGAGCAACTGCTTTGATACCATTTGTTGATAAAACGAAGAGACATCATTAATCTAGGATTTATTTTCCTTATTATTACTGTAATTATGTGTCTTTAGTGCTTCAGGTTGTATTTAATAGCTGCTGTCTTTTCAGTTCTCAATCATTTACGTTCAGTATTTAGACAGTCACCTAGGGTACTGAATAGACTCTCTCAAGGATTCCTATCTGTATAAATAGCTTCTGTACTTCTTGTAAATGAATTCATGGAAATAATATTCAGAAAACTTCATGGTATCAGAGCTTGATCTCGTATCAGCCACTTCACTGTTAATCATCTTTCGAACAACGGTGTCTACTAGGGTGTCTCTCCCTGCCTCTCTGTTTAATCGTGTAGTGCCCATCTCTTCACCAACGGTTTTATCATGTCTAAGGAAACTGAATCAAGTAACCTTGATCACTCAACCATTGTTTCAGCTGCTACTGCAGCCGCGTTTGCTCTTCGAAACCCGAAATTTGATCTCCCTTCTATCCCGCCATCTTACCATCTCAATGGCAGGAACTATCTTGGGTGGTCAAAGCTGGTTTACACTCTCCTACGTGGCAAAGATCTTGAAGACTATCTCACTGTCTCTACCCCAGAAGAAGGAGAGATTGATGCTGCTATTTGGGAGAAAACTAATGCAAACATACGAGTCTGGTTATGGGACTCTATGGATCCCAACATTAGCAGTACATGTTTATACATGGACTCGGCTAAAGAAATCTGGGATTTCATACAGCAGTCCTACTCTGTTGCTAAAGATGGCGCTTTTGTCTATGACTTATGGCTCAAAACAACGAATCTTAAGCAAGATTCACAATCTGTCACAGATTATGCAACTGACCTCCAACGACGATGGTCTTAACTTGACCAGTATCAAACGATGAAATGGTCGAATGCCGCAGATGCAGCTCTTCACAAGAACTATATAAATCAGCAACGTCTATATTGCTTCTTGTCTGGTTTAAATCCTGAATATGATCAGACTCGGGGTCAAATTCTTGGCATTACTCCTCTGCCTTCCATATCTTCTGTCATTGCCACTATCAAACATGAAGAGAGTAGACACAATATAATGATGAATACAAATCTGATTGACAATACAGCTGTTGCTGCAAATCTACTCCTTCATATGTTAAGGAAACTAAGGGTAGTAAGGGAGGAAGATGGTGTGATCATTGCAAGCGGTCCAACCATAATGTGGATACATGCTGAAAACTTTATCCTCATCTACAGAAAGAAAGAAAAAGCCAGGACAGACGTGGAACTAGTGCTGGACGTGCCAACTCAGTCACTCCCACTATTGTTGAGAGCTCTACTAATCTTTCGCCCATTTCGCAGGAGGAATTACAGCAACTTCGTATGATGTTACAGTCTCTTAATAACTCAAATGGTTCTGGTCATAGCTCTTTGGCCCTGCAAGGTAAAACCTTTACTATTTTTTGTCTTAATGCTTCGGAACAGTTCACAATCCCAATGGATATTAGACTCAGGTGCCACATCTCATATGACTGCCATACCCTCTTTACTCTCTAATTAGCATCCATGTTTTACATCCACACACATTACTACTGCTGATGGGACACCTACAAAGGTTGTGGGACTTGGTACAGTTGTTTTTTCTGAAAAATTAAATCTGAAAAACACCCTACATGTCCCAAACCTGGCTATGAACCTTGCTTCTATTTACAAACTCACAGTTGATCTTAATTGTGCTGCCATTTTTTTCCCTTCCCACTGTTTATTACAGGATTTACACACGGGGAGGACGATTGGAATTACTAAACAAAGAGATGGCCTGTACTACCTTGATGCATTGTTTGTCTCAAAACCTCCACAAAAAACTCTTACCACAATCACAACCAATACCAACACTATTTGGCTTCACCACAAGTGCCTTGGTCATCCCTTTTTTCATGTCCTAAAAACCATGCTTCCTAGTCTTTTTAGTAGTATTGATGTTTCTACATTTCAATGTGATGTCTGTGAACTTGCTAAACAGTCTCGTGTATCTTTTTCTAGAAGTAATACAATCAGTTGTTCTCATTTTGATATTATACATAGTGGTGTTTGGGGCCCTGCGCCAATTGCTAATATATCTGGTGCCCGGTGGTATGTTACATTTATTGACGATTGTACACGTTTTATGTGGGTTTTTCTGCTAAAAAACAAGAGTGAGGTGACTTCCATCATTCCTATCTTTTGCAATATGATTCATAATCAGTTCTCCGGTCACAATAAAACGCTCCCGCACTGATAATGCTCTTGAATACTTCAATCAAACAGTTTCCTCTTATTTCCTCTCAAAAGGCATTGTTCATGAGTCCTCTTGTCCGTACACACCACAACAGAATGGCACAGCAGAAAGAAAAAATCGCCATCTCCTAGAAGTCAGTCGGGCTTTATTGTTTCAATCAAATATGCCTAAACACTATTGGGGGGAAGCCACACTCACCGCATGTCATCTCATCAATAAAATTCCCAGTCGGGTACTCCAAAATAAGTCACCCATTGAATCTCTCCGTCACTTCTTTCCTCAAACCAGAATTTCTTCTGATCTTGATCTAAGGGTGTTTGGGTGTACTGCATTTGTTCATATTCCTCCACCTCATAGGGGAAAATTGGACCCACGATCTATTAAGTGTATCTTTCTTGGTTATTCTCCAACTTAGAAAGGATACAAGTGCTATAATCCTACAACCAGAAAGACATACACCAGTGCAGATGTAACCTTTCACGAAGACACACCTTTTCACACTCCTACTTCTCTCCCTGTATCCCAAGATACTCCACATCCTTCACCTCTACTCACCTATACTATTACATCTTCTCCACCACATACAATCTCCTACCCTCCTAAGCCTTTATCACCAGACATCCCATCACCACCACCACCGCCATATGATCATCCATCACCTTCCTTAGATGTGTCAGCAACCTCACCTACTTCCCAACAGTCTTCAACATCACCTGAACCTCAATCAAATCCACCACCAGACCATCCCATTCCTACACCTACTAAATCCACCACTCATGACCCATCTTCTCCTCTACCAGTGTACTCAAGGAAAAACATGTTCACTCCATTGTTGACGCATGACCAATTGGCTGACCCAGCTAATGTCTCTTCTTCTCCACCATCATCTTCGCCAATTGCTTTACGCAAGGGTGTACGTCAATGTACCAAAACACCTCTATACCCTCTTGCTAATTTTGTTACCATTGATAACTTCTCTCCTTCACATGCCTTGTTTGTTCAGAGACTTAATGAAATTCCCATACCCAACTCTGTTTCTGAGGCATTAGGAAAGAAAGAATGGAGGGATGCTATGCAAGAGGAAATTAGAGCTCTTGAAAAGAACCATACTTGGGATATTGTGACTAAACTTCCTCGGAGGCATGTTGTTGGTTGCAGGTGGATCTTTACTGTCAAATACATGGCTGATGGATCTCTTGAGCGGTACAAAGCTCGTCTTGTGGCTAAAGGATACACTCAGACGTATGGGATTGACTATCAAGAGACCTTTGCTTCTGTAGCTAAGCTCAATACTGTCTGTATCCTACTATCCTTGGCATCTCACTTTGATTGGCATTTATTGCAATTTGATGTCAAGAATGCTTTTCTCCACGGTGACTTGCATGATGAGATCTACATGTACATTCCCCAGGCTTTAATAAAACATCAACAAGTACCTCTACACATGTATGCCATTTAAAAAAGCCCTCTATGGTCTCAAGCAATCCCCTCGTGCTTGGTTTGACCGCTTCACACAGGTTGTTCTTGCTGCTGGGTATAATCAAAGCCAAGGGGATCATACTCTTTTTTACAAACACTCTCGCCCAAATGGAGTCACTATTCTTTTAGTATATGTGGATGACATCATTGTGATGGGTAATGATCCAGTTGAGAAACAACGTCTTGAGGGGCAGCTGAAATCCAAATTCGAGATGAAGTCTCTTGGCCCTCTAAAATACTTTCTTGGAATTGAAGTTGCTCGCTCATCTGAAGGCATTTTTATCAGCCAACAAAAGTACATTACAGATTTGTTAAATGAGACTGGTAAGTGTTCTTGTCGACCGGTTAATGCACCTATGGATCCTAATCATAAGCTTGGACTTGCTACTGATGAACCCAAGGTTGATTCATCAATGTATCAGCGCTTGTGTGGCAAACTTATCTCTCTCTCTCATACTAGACCTGACATTGCCTATGCAGTTAGTGTTTTGAGTCAGTTCATGCATGATCCAAGGAAACCACATCTAGAAGCAGTCTATAGGGTTCTTCACTACCTAAAAGGAAGTCCAGGGTAAGGGATAATATTCAGGAAGGGTGGGCAATTATCAGTCCAAGCCTTCACTAATGCAGATTATGGTGGTTCCCTCGTTGACCGCCGGCCAACTACTGGTCTCTGTGTTTTCCTAGTAGGAAACCTCGTGACATGGAGAAGCAAAAAACAGAATGTTGTGGCACGATCATCTGCTGAATCTGAGCTAAGAGCTCTTGTCCATGGCTTATGTGAACTTCTATGGATCAGAATTATTCTCTTAGATTTACGAATCAAGCGGAAAGGACCAATGGAATTGAGGTGTGATAACAAATCAACAATCAACATAGCTCATAATCCAGTCCAACATGATCGGACCAAGCATATTGAGATTGATAGGCACTTTATCAAAGAAAAGGTTGAAGGAGGTCTGATCGAACTAAGCTACACTCCCTCAGAAGATCAAGTTGCAGATGTGTTTACCAAACCTCTGCACAGTCCTAGGTTTCAGGGTCTTATTGTCAAGCTAGGCATGACGGATATCTACAAACCTAGCTTGAGGGGGAGTGTTGATAAAACGAAGAGACATCATTAATCTATGATTTATTTTCCTTATTATTACTGTAATTATGTGTCTTTAGTGCTTCAGGTTGTATTTAATAGCTGCTGTCTTTTCAGTTCTCAATCATTTATGTTTAGTATTTAGACAGTCACCTAGGGTACTGAATAGACTCTCTCAGGATTCCTATCTGTATAAATAGCTTCTGTACTTCCTGTAAATGAATTCATGGAAATAATATTCAGAAAACTTCACCATTGATAGAATCCGGCACAAATGAAAGCTAAATAGTATACGGATATACAAATCTGATCAAAAGGAGATGATAACAGTGTCTATTGATAATGAAAGGTAATCCGTAGGCAACAGGCAACCAGTCCGTTCGAGAAGACCACTCTCCAAGGCAACACTCAATATCAAAATAACAGCCTCCTCTATTAAGATACCCCCTTTTCTATTTATAGTATTAAGTCCATGCAGGAACTAAAATAGATAAAGTGATTCTTTAATTGACCCCAGCCCCTTTATTTCTCCTTTCATACCCCTTATCAAAATACTGACTAGGTTGATGCCTAACATAGTCTGGCTGAATTTGATCATTACACTTTCTAGCTTAGTTAGGCAAAGCTTGCTTAGCTTGAATTGGTCATTTTGTTCACAGTTCATTGGAAATTATCAAGAGGCAAATGGAACCAAGAGTGGATGGGGCGCAGGTTTGTTTCATTCTCTTAAACTCATATTTTTGCATAATTGCGATGACTACATTTGTATCATAATTCTTTGCTCTCTTGTCTCTGTAGTTATACTTGCAGAAGCAGTCGCTTTAGTTGCTGCTAGCACTGTTCATCGAGTGTGTATCACAACATGGTAAATGTTAATATTTCACTCATGGTTTGAAGTTCTTCCATTATCAATTTGTCATGACCTGTGACCACCATGATTACAGAAGTTCTCCATATGTCCTAGCAGAATATGTCACTCAACTGAAAATGGTAACTGGTATAGGAAGAAAACTGAGAGCATGTGTACTACCAAAATAAGGAACCATCATTTTTTCGAATTCCTTCGAGGATAATAATGTGTTGAAAATAAGGCTTGTAGGATTGTACACATGCAAATAGTGTGTGAAGTATATGTGACTAGTTGCACTGTGGGAATTGAGATGGGTGTAAAAATATTTTGAAAACCATACTTTTATTTTATTTTTAATGCAGCCTTTTATTCTCTGTTGGGCTGCTATATGAGATCAACAGACTCTCTGTGATGATGGCTGCCAAAGGTGAAAGTAAAACCAAAAGGTTCTAGTTGGGAATTACAAACTGATTGTTTTAGGAGCAGTGAATGGTCGAGGATGAGATTGACACCATTATTTTGTAACCACTTGTAGCATCCAACCTGGTGATCTATTTATGTTACTTTCCATCCGCTTGCCTGCTATTATTATCAATACAAATGATTTTCTTACAAGACTAGTATATTTCTATTTTATTGTGAGATCACGACTATTAACAATTTAACAGTATTAAGATTTAAGACTGTTAGGTGAAGATGCGCAATTTCTAGGGGTACAAATTCTTTAGATAGTCTCCAATAACAGCAGCCTTGGAGAATCCACAATGGTAGAGGTCAAGTTTCATTTCGAACTTGAACTTTAAATTTACCATTAAAGAGTTGCATTCTAGTTTAAAATATTAACTTCGTTAAGGTAAAAAAAGGCTAGCTCTATTACACTTGGTCAAGGTTTAAAAAGGCTAGCTTGGGTATAGTTAAACCAAATAAAGATGTGCATAATTATAAGCACAAAGAGTCTCAAGCACAAACACATATATGACCACATTGGCAATCATGATAACTCAAAATGAAAATTTGAACAGACAAATAGACACATCACACAAATGACATAATTTAAAAGTCTTCAAGCTTAATCATCATGACTGGATCTTTGGAATAATCATCATATCATAGTCTTATAACCATTGTCCCTTCCACCATCACTATCTAAATCCTCCCATTCTTCTTGGTCTTCATCATCAACATCATTTGCCTCCATTACTTATTTATTTTTCTAATTGTTTCCTTGGTTATCCATTCGCTTGCTTGGACTTTCTATTGTTTGAGCTTCTTTTGATGATTCCCCTTAAATATCGACATCAAGGTCATCATCAAATGCATTTGTTTTAACATCATTTTCATCGACACACAATTCATCATCAGACGACAAATCATGTATTAAAAGATTCTTCATCATTGGCTAGGGATCTTATTTTAAGGTATCGATCTGTCAATCTTTTGTTGAACATTATATAGACCAATGAGTTCATCCTAATCGTTATCAAACGACTTCTTCTTTTGGTATGTACTTGATTGAAAGTACCCCTATCTTGCTCACACCCGGATAATGAACAAGTGAACAAGTAAGGCCTAACACTTTTATTGCAAACACTTGTATATGTACCTGGTCGTGGCCGATCTGGCAGTGAGCTCGATATTACTTAAGTAGGTGGAGGGTGTTTAGCGGCCAATATACTTTGTGAGCAAGGTGGTGAATGGCCTGGAGACGAGGTATACGCTGATGGAAAAGATGATCTTGGCACTTAATCATTGCAGCGATCAAGTGTCTGGCTCATCCCATGATGATCTACAGTCTACACAACGCTGCCGCTCGCCACCATCCTGAGGAATCCTATGGCCAGCGGGCGCATCACCAAATGATCCCTTATGATCGGGCAGTATAATGTGGAATTCAAGCCAAGGACGACGACTAAAGGATAGGCCCTAGCTGATTTTATAGCAGAATGCACGACATGCACCGACGAGAAGTCCCCAGATGAAAATGACTCTGACAGCTAGTGGGAAATGTACACCGATGGGGCTTCCAAGGCGCGCGGGTGTAGCGGCAGAGCTGTAATCACCTCCCTTGAGGGCTTCAAAGCATACCACTCAATGAAATTCGACTTTAAGATCACCAACAATGAGGCGAAATATGAGGCCCTCATTGCAACTCTAAACTATGTGAATGATCTGGGCGTTGCTCGTCTCAAAGTTCGGATGAATAGCCAATTGGTGGTAACCCAGATGAACGGGACAACTGAAACTCGAGAGGAGTGGATGAAGGCCTATAGGGAGCTAGCAGAGGAGCAAACAGCTCGGTTTGAGCAGGTGACTATCGAACAGGTGTCCCGGGTGGAGAACGACGAGGCCGATATATTGTCCAAACCAGGGAACCCTTCCCCCTAGGATCAAATGGTGGCGCAATCCTCGAACACATCAAATGATTCACCCGACAGGAGCTTCTTGCCCACTTGGCGATGGAGGCGATGCAGGTAGAGGCCATTTCTTTTACTGAAGCATGCTGGATGAGTGAGATAGCTGCATACCTCAAGGATGGAACGCTCCCCAAAGAGATCGAGACGAGCGACATCAGCAAATCAATGTGGATCAAGAGAAGAGCCTCGAATTTTGAACTTATAGACGGATAACTCTATAAAAAGACGTTCGAGGGCCCATACCTCAGGTGCTTGCCGCCTGGATTGGTGGCTGCTGTCATGGAAGAAATCCAGAAGGGGATATGCTCAAGCCACCAAGGACCGCGGACCTTGGCTAGGAAGATCATTGTTCAGGGGTACTACTGGCCCACTATCTAGCGAGATTGCTTCAACCACACCGAGAAGTGTGCAATGTGTCAGAAGTATGCCCCTGTCCCCAGCCGACCGACCAGTTTCTACTCTCTGATGACCATATCTTTACCTTTTGCTAGATGGGGAGTAGACCTGCTCAGGCCGTTACCTGCGACGTCCGGTGTGAGGAAGTTCATCATTCTGGGGATTGATTAATTCATCAAATGGGTAAGGTCGAGCCCTTGGCAACCATCACCGAGTAACAATGCCAGCACTTCGTCTGGCAGAACATTCTATGTCGCTTCGGAATCCCCAAGCAAATCATCATTGACAACGATCACCGGTTTATTAGCAAGGGCTTCGAGGGTTTCCTTGCAAAATGGGGCATCCAACATTCCAAGGCCTCGATGGTGTACCCTCAGGCAAATAGTCAGGTGGAAAATATGAATAGGACCATCATGTATGGAATCAAGAAGAAACTGGAGGATTATGCCTCCACCTGGCCGGATCAATTGAATTATATCTTGTGGACGTACCAGACGACCCCGAGGACAGTGACGACACTAAATTCGTTGTGTGCCTCAAAATAATATTCAATACGACAATTATATGTGGTATAATGAAGTAAGGTTCGTATCCACAGGGAAACGAATACTTCTCTTTTATGAAACTAGTAACAAGGGGGTGTTGAGTTTAAGTCCCGATGGATCCAAAGGCCCAACACCAACCTTTGGGTATGAAGGATGATTAATAAAAAAGAGTGTTTAGGGAAAGATGCTAACTAATCAGATGATCTAATAGCTCCAATTGTATTAACGTAATGTTTTGATTACAGAGGAATGGCCGAATGAGAGTTATGGACCACTGTCTAATACAAGAGCTAAAATACAATATAAGCTTCTGAGTATTCAAATGCTAACCCCTTCCAGGAATAAATGCAGCTATTTATATTAGATATGATTAGGTGGGGGCGATGATGTGGCCGAATCCGATTGGTTGCTTTCCTCCTCACTTGTACACCCATGCTCCCACTTTTGACATCCATACTCTAACATTAAATGCAGCCCGTCACTTGTACGGCTTCTCGATCGGTACTGGGACCCATTAAGCCATCAACCAAGGATAATGTTGATCTTCCGCCAAGTGAGGGTTAAGGTCTGTTCGGGATATGTTGAACGATCCCTTCACCAATTGCCCAGATCTCGTTCGGAGGCTTCTTGCTCTGCTGGATCTTCTTTAAGCTCACCCATGTTCTTGAGCCTTAGGGATATTCTGGGCCGGACTATTGGGTTGGACCCCAATATCCCAACATTAGTCCCCCACTTTCGATGTTCCGAGCGTGCTCGGGGCATAAGGAAGTAAAAGCCCCCTGGATGAAGCTCCCCGTCATCATCTGAATTTCAAATCTATTCGAAAGCAAAGATAAAAACTCTCCCCAAACTCATGGCTCAAATCCCCACTCTAATTCCAGACCCGGTCGATTTCCGCCTACACGCCAGGATTCACCCATTGCGCCACTGCCCTGGAATGGTGGTGGTTCACTATGATTCCTTCAAGACCGGGTTGATATTCCCGTTGCACCCCTTTTTTAATTTGTAGCTTTCTTTAATCATTACGAGGTCGTCCCGGCTCAAATAATGCTTGATGGAATATAATTCCAGCGAAAAGAGCTTAATCAATCAAATATTCATGAATTGTAGAAGAGAAAGTAATAGTTGTATTATTAATCGAGAAAGCCCCCCCCCTACAAGATGTACATGAGTATTTATAGGTGTAATATTGTACAATTAATAGGATACTTAATTATTGTAATTAATGAATGTAATTATAGTAGGACTCTTATAACGTTCCTACTATAACTCCTTTCTTCAATGTCTCCTTTGTGCCCATGACTCCTCTAAGTCCTAGGAATATCCCGGCCTCACTAGAACTCTGCCCAGGCTCGAGGTCTGTTGTCCAGCCTGGCCTGGTTGTGGGTTCCAGTGACTCGTTCTTGAGCCTTAGGAAGAGTCCGATCTCCACGGGCTGACCATTGAGCCTGGCGCCTACTGTCCAGGTCGGCTTAGGCGTGACCAACCTCATAGTGGATTTGGATCTCCCTGTTCAGGCCCAGCAGCTAATTAATATTAATCCCGTGAAGGGTTGATCCCGTTGATGGGCTGATCCCATTGATGGGCTTTGCTTTGATTCAATCTTGGGCCATGGTAATGATCCATGGTACCATCACGAGCCCCCCTACTCTCTTGAGCTGACCAGGCTCAACGCAAGAGAGTAATTTGATTCCTTTCTCATTCTTGAAATTCTTTATTCTTTGAGGCAAACGTGGTGAGATGGAAAGGAGTAGAGTAGTGAATGCCTCGTAATGACTCCTCCAGGGGCTGAGGGTCGTCACCTTTTGTCCACAATGGGGAGGTGTCTCGTTAAAAACCTCATTAGGAAAAACCTAGTGGGAAAAATCCTAGTAAGGGAAAAAGATTACACCGGATGCCCCCAAAATGAAGCAAGAGGGTGGACCCTTTGGCTGATGTATTTAGCTGTAATGACCGCCTGATGCATCCGGTCCGTTTTGTGGGCATCATCATCTTCGTTTGGTAGATAACCGAGACAAGCTTGAGAGATCAGTATGATAGTCCTCATCCGAGTGTACCTATACCTATTTAAATAAAACTGTGGTAATTTCTCGACTTTGCTACCACATTTGAGCCTAATTAAATGGTTTCAAATTCCCAACAATACATATTCCCGTGTTTAGTAATAGATAAAATTTTAAAATTTAAAGTTAAAGAGCACTTAGCTTCGGATCTGTAGTATGTGTAAGCTTTCACTTTTCTTCAATTCTGACTCAGCCAAAATTCTTCGTAGGATCTCGATCCAGAGGATGTTGATAGAGAACCTTGAATTGTTGCTCATGGATGAAGTTTAATCCAACTACGAGAGCTAAATTTAACATTAGTTCGAATAGGACTCCTCTAGCGTCTAGGCCATTGTGCAATGAT